ATAAATCTTTTTTATGTTTTTATTCGCTGAATTTAAGTAAACAGATTATTTCTAGACAGGGGGTAAATATTAAAAAATATTGGTAAAAACTAAAAAGTATCATCAAGTGTTGAAAACTCACATCTAGATGTTCAATTTTCTTGTAATTTATAATCCTGTTGAGCAGTTATGAGTAGTTGATGGCATTTCATGAGTTTAGGAAGACTACATGATTTTAATCTGGAGGCTCTTCACCAAAATCATATTTTTTACTTATCCCCCCCCCTCCCTTTACACGCTTCTAAGTAATTCTACAAACCCAAGCTTATTCCTTGTTTGTACCAGGTTCCTATATAGTGGAGACGAGACTGATATCCGTGATATTAAGGACCTGGAGACACTGTTCCAGTTGTTCAAGATGTTCCAGGCATACCAGATCAGGGGGTCTATAGACCTATTCATGGATATTATCAGCAAGGTTCGATTAATTAAATTGTTTTGGAGAGTGGGGGGCGGGGGGTTAGTCAAATGTTTCAATGAAAATGCTTTTCTTCTGGTTTTGATAGATGGATGGTCTCATTTAAAGAATTGCAATTTGTCGATGAAACTTGAATTAGATGTATCATTAGGTCACTTGTAAAAAAAGCGTTCTCTTTCAAAGCACAAATCTAAACTGTTGAAAAAAGACAGATTATTAAAAATGTGTTATCTCTGATGGTTCATAATCATCAAGTTTTAAATGTTCTTGTATTAAAAAATTATTAAATCTAAAAGAAATGTTCATAATCGTATCTGAATTTGGATCCATTTTTTTCAGGGCGGATCCAGATAATTGGAAATGGATCCTAAGCATTGCTAAAAATATTCATTTTCCCTTTAAAATTTCTAATTTAGTTGGGTAAAAATGAAATTTATATGAGTGGAGAGATAAAAAATATGTTGACCGTGTACATCGTTTTGTTTAATCCTCTCAAGGTGGAGGTGTCCAGTAATAACTACACCGAGGTGTTCACTGTGCTGAACAAGTATGAGCAGGAGTTTATGTTCGAGCAAATATGTAATCTTATCAACACTACGTGTATACAGTCTGCTGCTATTAATATTGAAAGAGATATTACAAAATGTCTTACTTGACACGGGTTCAATAAATCTATCTCAATTTTGATAAACAGTAGAAATGAATTTTATTAAAACATGTTGCAGGATGATAAATCAGCTTTGAAATGTGCCAACTGTAAGATGGACCCTGCGAACTGTCTGAATGGGAAACGTGTTTGGGAGTTTCCTCCCTCTAACGGAGATTTGAATGTAAAGGTTAAATGTTCCCAGGAAATGACCTCAGATCAAGGCAGGGTTTCATCTAGACATTGTGTTGCAAGTTTAAGGACTTTACTGTTGTGGCAGATTTTATGGCCTAAGATATTTGAAGAAGATTTTATTGAATAGGATATTATGGAATTAGATACTAAGATACTATTTATAGACATGGATACATTTTGTGGCCGATTTTATGTATCTTAATTTTACTGGGTGTATCGGGTGTACACTCTACAGTGGGATGGGTCGATTTCGGAACAAAGCTTAAGGCCTGCACCTTAAATACTAAATTAGGCCCCAAAAAATATATCTTAAGCTGCTAAATACTGTCCACTTTTTTATTTTTTGATAAATATTAAATTGAAATCAAATTAAATGAATAAATCGTCCCACCCTAGTGTACAGTATACAAAGATACAGTGTACAGTATACAGATTAAACCTAGATAAACCTCTGGATCAAGGATACGTTTGTCCTGCTGAATCAAGTGGAGTCCTAAAGTACTTCAATAAATATGAAGTTGCTACTCCTCAACCTAGCCAATATAGTAGCGGATTTGATGTTTCTCTCAAGAAGATACAATGTTGGATGTTGAGCATCACTTGGGGCCAGAGTACACAGCTCAGCTGCTATTCAGATCGTAATGTGGCACGTTATGTAAATTATAATTGCAGATAAATAAGAGTTTACAACACTCTATCAGTTCTGGTCCTGAACATGGCTAATTTTTTATATCACTCCTACAGTCCTACTGCATTTGAAACTGTGTGTATCTCCATTCTTGAAATAAATAAGAGGGTTACTTTTTTAATTTTTCAGCGCAATTGTAATGCAAATTTTAAATTATACTTTCCCACAAAGCTCTCATGAAAATTGTAAAGTGTATTAGAAAGTTTTAATTTCATGTTTATCGTTGTAACAAAGTGAAAATCCTGTAATGCTCGATTAAGTTTTTAACAGCATTTTTTGCCGATTTTCACAAAGACTGATTAAGATTTTGTTCTGTTGAAACTGTTTTTTTTTCATCTTCAGGATTAATATCCATGTTTATTTTCAGAAAATGATGTATTTATAGCAAAACTGGGAGTAAGGATAAAATGTCTGAATCCGACACAGTAGTTCTTTTATCAAATGTGGACCCTGCTCGTCCTAGATGCTCAGCTTCCTTGTTTCTTTGCCCTCTTCTATTTCTAATAGGTAGGAGAGAAAATTGAATATCAGTCAATATATTAATATATTCCATGAGAGCAGGGATATTTTCAAGAATTTCTTTTCAAAGCTTTCTATGTAAGCATTGAATATTTAGCTGAAACATAAATAGCTTTTTCATCTTAATTTTCATAAAGTCAATGCCGTATCTGAATAATATTTGAGGAGAAAATATATCCAAGGTCGGAATCTAGAGAGTTAGTTGAACTAGCCATATATCTAGTTCAAATACCTCCTTTTGTTCATCAAATTGATTGAACAATCAAATATTGGTCATATAGTGTAGAGAAGGTAAAACGAAACCAAATCCTCGAGGTTACTAAAATGCTGGTTAAGTTAGAATTTACCCTAGTGATCTATATATTAGGTTGTGCTGGTGTATTAATAGCTATATTACTTGGATTCTTTGCAACTGTTCAGGTATTTTTTACTCATCATTTTTTCTCGGACGGCCCCCACCCCCTCACTTCTCCCCTTCCCTCTCAGTAGAGTAAAATCACTAGAAAGGAGACTTAACACATCCTCAGTTCAAATACACTGAAAGAAAACCCCTATATAGAGTATGTCAGAAAAATCCTTATACTTTAGGATTTCCTGACATACTATATACTTTCTGAATTATTTTTAGATTTCTATGTATTTACTATTTACGCAAACTACAGTAAATATTTACAAAGATGAAGAATTTCTTGACAGTGTCGTGAGATGATTTGAAGATTGTAAAAATAAGTTGTGGCATTAATTTTTTTATCTAATTTTAGTTTTTACAATATGATTCTTGAATATATATATTGGTCGGTCTTCTGTGTGCTTAATCAATAAACAATCACAAGAGAGAGAAAGAATTTTGTTTCCATTTATTTAAGGGAGTGACCGGCAATGCATGGTGGTCGAACTGAGAAAGTAGTATTGTGGACAAACTTTTTAGGATTCATTTGAGACATAAAACGTTTCAATGATGCATAATTACTGAGTTTGACTTTTAAAATCATCCATTTGGGACGTTAGGTTTTGAGAATCGTTATTTTTTAATTATTGAATAACTTGACAAAAAATGTTACACAATGTCTACAGTCAACTAAATAGTGTTCAGGTTGATAAAATAAAATTACTCTCGTCATCGGAAATAAGAAATCTTGTTCAGTTATTAGTATCTGTACTCTGTAGTAGAGAGTATCGCAAAAAGGCATTCGTAACTTAATGGGATTTCTGATTAATTTTTTTTGTAATTAATTTTCTGCGTTTTTTAATAAAAGTTTGAAGAAGAAACGTTTCTGTAATCTCTCTTTCTTTACAATCATTTTCTTTATATTTTTTGGAATTTTTATTGAAAAAACTACATTCGAAGAATTTGTAGAAATTTGCGAACAAATTCGTAAAGTATAGAAATTCAATATATTGATGGTTAAGAAATAATTGATTCTTACATTGATTTATTGACAAATTTCTATTGAGAAAAGTGTTCCTAAACATCTAATTTTGTTACATTTTTTGTGGTATTTATTTATTAATTTGAAAAATAACGATCATCAAAACGGACTTACCCAAATGGATGATTTTGAACGTCGACTTTTCGCTCAAACTCTGTAATTATATATTATTAAAACATTTTATATGTCTTAGTTGAATCTTAAAAAATTCTCGACAATACACATTCTCAGTTCGACTACCCACTTCAAATAAAACCCAAATTGGCCAATTCTGATTGAAATCATTCATATCTCATGTGATTTTGAAAGCACATGAAAGGCAGACCACATTTTGGAACAGAACAACATTTTTTCTGTAATTATTATTTCACAGTATTGTTAAATTCGGTTGAAAAATTAATGCCGAAAATTATTTTCCAAGATAAAATAGGTTTTTCAAGTCGTGGATCAATTGTCATTTTACTATATCTAGGAAGGAGTTCCTCTCAGAATACTGTCCTTGAACACATGGGGTATTAATGCGGTCTTTGGTGCTAAGGTAATGTCTTGTTGACGGTAGAACATGCATTTAGATTCTAGAAAAGTAGAAAATATATAAACAGAGATGGAATTTAAAGAATTTGAGCCGTGCTTTAAATCCGCCAAAACCCTGGTTTAAAAATAAGCGCCGGCTTAAATCTTGAAACATTTGATACAATTTAAAGTGGAACCAACCATATTTAAGCCGCGGCTTAAATTGAAACCGCCGCTCAAATTCTTTAAATTCGGTCACAGGATTCATCGATATCTTCTACTAGATTGAGTACCTAGTGTTGTTCAGTTTTAAAAAACAAGCGAGGGAAAAAAGAACTATTTAACCTAGTAACCCCCTGGGTATCTATGGGTAAACTATGGGAATGTCTACGCTTTGTTAATTGAAAAAGTTGGGTTTGTTTTACATTTTGGTCTCCTGGAAACAGCTTTGCTATTAAAACAAAAGATCTCATCTGTTAAATGATGAGTAATCACTATTATTAAACTGATAAGTGCATATTAAAATTTATAAGAGATTATTAAAACTAATAAGAGATTATTAAAACTAATGAGAAACTATTAAAACTACTGAGGGATTGTTAAAACTACTGAGGGATTATTAAAACTAAACTAATGAGGGATTATTAAAACTGAGAGATTATTAAAACGGATAAGAGATTATTAAAACGGATAAGAGATTATTAAGACTAATGAGATTATTAAAACTAATGAGATTATTAAAACTAATGAGATTATTAAAACTAATGAGATTTTTAAAACTAATAAGAGATTATTAAAACTAATGAGAGATTATTAAAACTAATGAGGGATTATTAAAACTGAGAGATTATTAAAACTAATGAGATTATCAAAACTAAGATTATTAAAACTAATGAGATTATTAAAACTAATGAGAGATTATTAAAACTAATGAGAAACTATTAAAACTACTGAGGGATTATTAAAACTAATGAGGGATTATTAAAACTAATGAGAGATTATTAAAACTAATGAGATTATTAAAACTAATGAGAGATTATTAAAACTAATGAGGGATTATTGAAACTAATGAGGGATTATTAAAATTAATGAGAGATACTAATGAGAGATTGTTAAAACTAATGAGAGATTATTAAAACTAATGAGAGATTATTAAAACTAATGAGAGATTATTAAAACTAATGAGAGATTATTAAAACTAATGAGAGGTTATTATAACTAATGAGAGATTTTTAAGACTAATAAGATTTTTAAAAAATTCAATCGTCGTCCATTAAGTTTCAGCATATATAAGCGAGAAATAGAATAATTGTACATTGTACTGTACCTAAACAGATTTTATATAGATTTGTTACCAAATACTTTTGCAGGACAAAGAATTTCGGATGGAGCATATTGGACAGATGGTGTCTAACATGGTGAGTGAATAATAATAATACCTTTAACATCGATATAAACAATATAAACAATAACTCTTTCAAAATAAACATGACAATTATCAGATAACTACAGGGTTACCAACAAAGGATGAGACTTCAGAGACGACTGTACTGAGTTTATACTGTCTGTTTTCTTATATTCATGATTCCCTGCAGCTGTAAACTTGTTTCTTTCTTTTTTCAAATCATTTAAAAAGCCAATAAAATACTGAAGTAAAGGCAGAAGACTTGATTTAAAATGGATCATCATGAGTTTCAAGTCGTTTTTACAGTCTCATCCATTGTGCGACAAAAATATTAATGACTACAAAGACACGTCGAAGATACAAATTGATGATGTGTCGTTGCTTGCAGGAGTATGATATCTACCTGTTTCAAGAACTATGGATGCGTCCTGACCATGATACTATTGCTAAACATCTCCCTAAAGGATATTATATGACCGCGGTAAGATTTAGATTTAAAGATTAAAGAAAATTCAAAAATAATTTGAGGGAGTGAAGGGATTGTAAGCGTAATATTCTAATTACAGTACTTCTCCTTAAATGGCCTACTCACTTAAATTCAAGGGGTTCTCCTTGTAAAGATGGCGATGCCCGATTCATGACTGCAGGTCATTAAAACCTGTTAATAATGTAGAATATATTGTTTTTTATGTTTAAAGGCTTTTACTTTTGATCATTCCTACATGTTCTTCTGTCGTAGAAATGCGCACTCACTTCTTTAAAATATTGAACATTGATAGACAGACAAAACATTTAAGGGTACCGTTGTAAATCGGGCATTAGCATTGAGGGTCATTTGAAATTACGCTTGCAGTCCCTCTAAGAGAAGGAAATGTAATTAGAATGTGGGAAGGTTATTGGAGAAAAGACGTAGAAGAGAGGAGATTAAAAAAGGAATGAAGGATGCAACAAATCACTGAATTAGGGGGTCTCTTTGAAGGAAACAAAGATAATAAAGAAGGAAAGGGAGAAGAAATTCAAAAAAGAAAGGGGTGGTGGGGTAACCAGTATTGCAATTTATGTATTTTAATATTTTCATTATCATTTATAAATACCAGTGCTTAGGATCCATTTAATTTTGAATTTTGATGCGGATCCGGATCCTGGATCCGCACTGGAAAAAAATGGATCCGGATCCAGGTCATTTCTTTAAGATTTACTGAATTTTTTTAACAAAAAATAATTTTCAAATTTTTTTGTTTTATTTTTTTACTTGATGAACCATTCAGAAATAATAAAGTTTTACTGTCTCTCTTTTTTTTCAAAAGTTCAGATTTGGGTTTAAGGAGTAAAACAGTTTTTTTTTAGTTTTTGGTTGATAATATTTTACTCCTTGAATCCGGATCCGTGGATCCGCATATTTTTGCGGATCCGGATCCAGGAAGCCAAAATCTTGCGGATCCAACAGATCCGGATCCGGGTCTTAAGCATTTATTCATTAAATACAATTGAATTATTTACGGTTTGAAAGAGGGCTAGGAAAGTAAAATGACAGAAAATCGGAAGAAAAAGAGGAAAATAAAAGGAAAAATGGATGTTTCATTTGTTAAGTACGACGATTTGGCTCAACGGCCATGTCCATGGTGGCCCTTTTCTCCATTCTGGTGTTGTGATGGAGATGATTTGCCTGCTGGATGCTCAGGTAACCTAAATCACTAATCCAATTCTTAAGCGGTCGATGCATAAGTTAATCCCTTTTGAACTCCAGAACTTAATGGGAGATATCTTCATAGCTCGTTTTTCACGGATTAAGCAATTAGTCAATATTAAAGTTTCTGATGTGGATTGTGAATTGGGTAGATTTTGACCGCAATTTAAAAGCTTCGGCTGCAAGATTTTAGGGTCAGCTTACTGAGTTAGGCCCATTGAAAATAAAACCGATCTTGATTGGTTTTAGTGAAGAATTAGTCTCAATGTTGAGTCTTATTCTAATAACATCCTGGAATTTACTAATTCCAACGAAGACATAAGCCGTATTTTCACGAATTTTTTATATTACGGGCTCAGGTTCTGAAGATTAACGCCATTGTATTGAAAAAGATTATCATTGTTTGAGTGCGCTCGCCCTATAACGGTCAGAATGCTTCTTCCCAAAAACGGAGGGGCTCTCAGATCTCAATTTGATCTAGATAGTAATGACATGAGTTTTCACAAAATAAATTATTTTTATTTCTAGGTTTGGCTGTTGTTTCTAGATTTCCTTTTCTTGAAATTGAGTTTACTATGTTCGATGTTCACGGGCCTACAGGGGATGGGGAGAAACTGGCGAGAAAAGGAAATTTTATGATCCCATGGAAAACAATTTCTCACTAATTCTAAGTATTTTTTTTTTGCAGACCCGTTTTTACTCAGAAATATTCAGGCATGTTTTTATCTAAGAAATAGTTGTGAAATTAAAATTGAAGAGAAGATATTAATTTTTGATTAAAATTTCATCCGTGAAATTTCTAAAATATGACCAATAATTAACCGGAAGTATAAATTTGTGTCGTCAGGCTTTGGAAGAGTTCGAATTGAACCAGTTGAGAATATAACAGGTAGGTTTACTCATCTAATTAAAAAAGACATTTTAATTTATTTTATTATTTTTGGGTTAATTTTTTTTTTTTTAATAAAATTTAACTTCATTTTATTATCTTATGTAAATGATTACTTTTAGGAGTGTCAAAGGTTAGATGATACAATACCTATTTTATTATTATTTTAAAAATGTGTTTCCGTAGTTGATGTGTTTGTGACGCATACCTGTGCGTCAGACGAGGTTGAGAACAAGAAGGCCAGACAGGCGCAGGTCAAACAACTGATGAAGGCAGTCAGGTATAAGCTCCTTTTTTGTCTCTGTATTATAGAATACAGGGGTGTATATTTTCAAGAATTGTTTCTGGAGATTTTTGGAGAAAATGAAAAATTTGACATGAATGGTAAGTCTCTTCATCCTTTTTCATACTTTTCCCGAAAAATCATTTAGTTTCTCCAAAAACTTATTTTTTTCCCAAAAAAACTCATTTTGTTCCCCAATTCAACGAATAAACCCCTAAAACAAGGTTGACACAACGCGCAAACATAGCTTCCGAGTAAAAAATTATTTTTAAAAAGGGGTGGAAGTAATGCTTTTTCAGGAAAATATACACCCCTGCTGTAATAAAGAATGTTCACGTTAACGGAGTATAAGTAAACCTAAGTGTTTTTATCAGAAATAAAACTTATTATTTGTATTTTAGAACCGCATCAGCTGATTTTGTTTTGCTGGGCGGAGATTTTAACTCTGATCCAAGAGCAACCAACGAGACCACTTATTCAATCCTGAAGCAGGACATGGCAAGGTAAAATTTTGTTTACAAAAAAACTTCTTTCATTCCATGAGTGGCGTTCTGGAAATGTAGTTGTCGCAGGATGTAAATTTTTGGTTAGAAAAATTAAGATATTTCCGGCATAGTTGAAGAAAAGGTTGTAAGAGTAGCAATGTATATCGTTGATGGCACTTTTGAGGCTCTCGTGAAGTTAAATCTACAATCCCTTTAATTTCAACCCAAATTTAATTTAGTTCTATGGAGGATTTCTTCAAGATAATTACGGACTGGTTAATCCCTAAACGAGCAACATACGCTAATCCACGAAACACCTACAGCGGTGCCAATGGCAGTATCTATCCTCCTGGTAATAGCAGCAAGTATCCACCAGTTCTCTACGATTATATTTGGCATAAGTACGTTTTTAATCTTTATATTTCATGATATTTTAATCAGCCAGAACTTAATCATCGTTATGTCTTCCAACTTTTGTAATTATCTTTCTTAAAAATGTATGAAAATTTATGGACTAATTAGATAAAACTATTTGTTCAGGTCATCGCCGGGAAATTTGGTTCTCACCAACTTTTTCGACATTCCATTCCTTACAACCGACTCTATACATTTCGAACCAAATCGCAGTAAGCGAGACCAATCTGCCGCTGAAAATCTTGAAATGGCCGCCGACGCCTTTCTCAGTCTGTCAGACCACGAGGCGGTCAGCGCTAGCCTCATCCTTTACAAACAGAAACAATAAAGTACAAAACATTTGGAGGATTTATCTTGAGTGGATTTTGAGCTTGCTTTTGCTTGTTAAACATGTACAAGTTGCCATAGAAGTCTTTTTTGGAACGATTTAAATCAAAATGTGTGTTTACATTGTACATTATTTAAATATCGTTTTATTGCTCTTATGTTTTTTTACGTTGAGGTTATGTAACTAATATTGTCTGATGTGATCTCTCTCTAAAACGTATGTATTTGTGTGCACTGTGCATTAACGATTGTGATATAATTCTGATTGATACTGATAATGATGTAACAAACTCGAAATTAATTAATTAATCGACGATCATCTAATGGTATTTTTATACAATTCAAATTACATGATTAAATTATCCGTCCATTGATTGACTGCCCCCTCTGCAATTCTCGGTGTTCCTTGATAAGTTATTACACTATCTTTGTATATTGTATGATTTAAATGTGATTTATCATTTTTAGTCAGAACGATGAGCATGATATTGATCAAATACTGTAAAAATTTACATTCGCGTTCTTTTTATTCTCAAGTAAAATATTCAATGCATGAATGATTGTATGTAACCAACTGATTGATCAATTGTGATCGATTGATTGATTGATTAAGTGTATTGTTGAAGAATAAAAATGGCTGAAAAAGTTGGAGGAGGAACCCCCTATGCCGAGGCCGTCCTAGAGGTAAACATTTAACAAAAAACATCTTTTTTTTCTGAAAGAAAAAAATTTATTTGACATAAGAAGTAGAAAAATTTGAGATATATAACCGAGTTGTGAAATGACTTGGTTTCAATTTTATAATGAACTAGCTTGAGAACCCAGCATTGTAAGGGTACTCATATTTACTCCCGCTGTTTACCTGCGCTGGGTCGTAAATTATGATTTTAGCTATTTTTCACTCAACTTAGAATCTCTAAGCCAAACTAAGAATATTCCCTTGGTTCTCCCGAGTTTCCCAGTCAAAATTTGAAGCAAATCGGTCAAGGGGTTCATGAGTTTTGATAGGACACGTAGGCAAACAGAGATTACAACTTTTTTATATATATAAAAGAGAGATAATCGTGAATGCCTTTTTTTTAAATAGTGATTGTATGTGTTTACGGCACAAATTATTATGTACTGAAGATGTATTTACAAGCATTTTTTAATTGTTTAGGAACGTAGACGCGTAATCAGAAATGCGCTGAAGCATGAATTTATTCAGAAACGTTATCACCCAAAGGTTTTGTTTTTTTATTCAATTTAGTTTCTTGTCTAAACTTTTTCTTAAACTAGACAAGTTATAAAGTAGAAGTATTGTGAATTGTATTCCTAAATGTTCGCAAATCTTGCCTTTGTGTTTATCTAATGAATCGAATGGTAGGATCTTCATTCTTCTTATAAAAAAAACAGTTTTACGAAACCCCTTTTTCATTTAACAAAGTCTATTTCTAACCCTCTAATTAATCTTGTTTTTTATTTAAAAGGTAAAACATATTGAACAGTCTCATCAAATTAGAATTCAATATTGTTTCCTATAAATGTTTGCCTATTGCCACTATGCAAAATGCAAAATGGCCTTTTTGACAAAAAAACTTAAGCCTGGACGACTTAAATTGTTTATTGACGAAAGATTGCTTATTTGCTGGAGTTATTTGCAAAAAAAATGACCCAAAAACGATGCAAAAACTAACGTGTCGTAAAGATTGTTTTTCGGATTGTTCTTGCACATTTTATTTGTTTAGGGTTAAAGATATTGCTTAGTTTAGTTAACATAATACTATTTAAAATCTTTAAAGTTTATCAAAATTTTTCTAGAAACGATCTCCAAAAAGATGGCAATGTTAATGTTTAGGCTGCTGAGCACGGTGGAGTTGTTTTTGATGCTGCTCTCCAGAGATGGAATGCTTTGCAGTTCTCATACGGAGAGCATTTCAAGTAAATAAAAAAATAGAATATTATTTCTCTAGTTCTATTGATTTTATTACATGAGAACAAGATGCGACGATTGAATTTAATGCTTCATTTACGTCTTTTAGATGCTATATCGATTGGACTAATAACCGATTGAACTACGTTCAATTGGACTAAAGTCAGCTGTTCAAAAATCTGTTTTTTATGCATTTGAACATTAGTACATCCTAACATGTCCTATCCGCGGCGCTCGGCCCCCTAGCATGTCCTCGTCACAGTGCTCGGCCCAGAAATTGTCCAAACATAACCCTCAAATATTAAGATTACGTCACATGTTTTGTGTATAAATACTTAAAAATTGATTGAGGTAATTTTTTTAAATGAAAAATTAGTCCATTTTAACAATTGTCCAAATGAACATTAGTCCAATCGACATGTATTTGAAATCTACAAAAATTAATTTCTATCTTTTCTGGTCCTTAACTTTTTGGCTAATTGTTTTCCTACGTTTAGCAGTTCAGAAAAATTATTTATTCTACATTCTAGGAACATTTTTTGTTTGTTTAATCTATATTTATGATTTCTATTTGACACATATTTTAAAAAGGGTTTTTAATTCTTAATTCCAATTTAGGGGGAGGGGCGGGGGAAGGTAGATGATTTTTTTTTCCCTTCTAAATTCTCCCCCTTATCACACAATGTTCTATCTTTAAGAAAACCTAACTATTTAAATTGCACCCCGCGACCCCCAGGTTAAAATAGATTCAATACCTATTTTGTGACCAATTTCGAAGAGCCAGCCTAAATTTGCTTATGTCTTATGTCTTACGTATCTGAGGAGGTAGAATATATGGAAGCTTAAGCCTGTGTATAAGTGCAGTAGATCCTTAAAAAATAGGATCAAAATTTTTTATATTATTTTTTTCTTGTTTATTTTAGACCTTCCATTCGGAACTTTGCAAAGTTTTTCTCCATCTCCATTCTCCCCATAGCCACCTTCTACTACTTCACTTTCGGACCCAGGAAGTAAGTTTTAAATTCTTCTTTTACTTATTGATGATTTATCTGAGAATTCTTCTTTTCACTCTCTCTCCCTCATATGAAAATGTATTTTTTTCTAGATGTTATTTATAAAGTTAGGGTTTTATTCATCGACTTGGAGAAAATTAATGATTTATAGTGGGGGGGGGGGGGGAATGAATTTTCAGGGTAAAGTACTAGAAAGGAGGAGTAAAGTTGCCTTTAAATGTCCAATTTTTCATTTTTTTTCAAACCATCAAAAATCATTTCTCCTGTATACATGGTTTGTTTAAATTTTACTGTGACGAATACGGACATCTCAGGATTAAAAACGAATATTGAATTAAGCTCGGCTTTCCTGGACAGGTAAGGAGAACCGGGCCTGGTTTAGGGGGGGGGGGTGACTGGTTTCCTGTTCATAAATTTATCCTTGATTGCATCCTGTAACTTTGCAATATCGCGTAAATATGGAAGATCATAGGGTACATTGCTTACATAGGGTACATAGGTTACATATAGAAACGTAAAGATTGCAATTTTAGTTCTTCAGATTATTTAAGTAGAGCCCAAGGGCTTTTCAAAAATGTTTTTCCCCCCCCCCCCCTCCGTAAACCAGAAGTCCAGTCGGAGTAGGGTTAAGTTTAACATTTAAATTGCCAAATAAACATTAATCGATGTCTTATTATTGTTGTTGTTTCGTAATTGTTTGGAAATTCAAATGTAAGATAAAGATCGGACTAAATATCCAGAAATTTGGAAGGAATTGGAATACAAAAGAAGCAATCCCTGTAAATATGATTTGATTTGATTTGATTTGCAACCTTACATTACTGACGACCTATTAAATAGTCAGTTCTCTATTAAAGTTATTTATTGGACAGACAGAAAGAAGGAATGACATTGATACAATTTTACTTAGTTTAAGAAAGAACCCAGATGGTACCTTCCAGTTGTTTCTCATATAAAGGTGTAAAAGGTTCCTCTGTGAATCAGTTCTCTATTAAAGTTATTTATTGGACAGACAGAAAGAAGGAATGCCATTGATACAATTTTACTATGTTTAAGAAAGAACCCAGATGGTACCTTCCAATTGTTTCTCAAATAAAGGTGTAAAAGGTTCCTCTGTGAATCAGTTCTCTATTAAAGTTATTTATTGGACAGACAGAAAGAAGGAATGCCATTGATACAATTTTACTATGTTTAAGAAAGAACCCAGATGGTACCTTCCAATTGTTTCTCATATAAAGGTGTAAAAGGTTCCTCTGTGAATCAGGCATGCAATGCTTTAATTTTGTGGTCACTTTAAAATACGTTGACAGTCACTTAATCCTTATTTTTAAATAAAAAATAATATTAATTTTAAAAACATTTTTTTCAGGCAGGAATGGCTGAAGTCCATTAGTCAAGGAGAAGTACCAATTGATCACCCAACCAGGAAGGCCGTATACATCACCTGGTTGTAACTCTCAGATCCTATACTATAGACCTCTAGCGGAAGCAATTTAAAACTTTAGTTGGAAATATTCCCACTAGGATCTTCAGCTTAAAGATATTTAGTCAGTACATAGTGTTAATTCTTCAGATAGAATGGCTTCAGGAGGAGTAGACTTAGATCCTCGGGTTCCTGGGGATAGTGGAGGAGCTGAGGAGCAGGAGGAACACAAGGAGGAACAGGAGGAGGAGAATAGAGCATTCGAGGTAGTGATGTGCTTTCAGTTGGTTTTGAAATTTTTTGTTCAGTCGTTTTTGCCTATATTTTCTTTTAGGGTCAAATGAATAAGAATACTACAAGTTTTAAATATTAAATTTTAAACATCTGATTTTCTTATTCTATGTCAAATGTTGACCATGACAGAAGATATTTGCAAAAAAAGACGTGTTGTAAAGGATAGTTTTCCCAATATTTTTTTTATAAAGATATTGCAAAGTTTAATGACAGTTATCTGTAACACGGCACAGGTTTGAAATCTTGAAAGTTTTATTAAATTGTGTTTAAAAACGATCCAAAACGATTAACAACACTGGTTCGGTTAATTTATAAATTCTGAGTCCGAATTAAATGATTTGAGTCGCGTCTTAAATCCGCCGTAAACCGGTTTGTGTACTGGCTTAAATTTTGAAACATTGAATACAATTTTAAGTGGAACTAACCATATTTAAGCCGCGGCTCAAATTCTTTAAATTCGGCCTCTGTATAATTTTGAAGATAAAACTAAAACGATAAAAAATAGAAGACAAAAAATGAATCTTATTTTCGTCTGAAGTCTTTGTTCAATCATCGGTTTTTAGAGTTTAATGCTTTTGCCACAAAAAAAAAAATTCGGCTAAAATTCTAATTTTTGAGTTTTCAGATAATGAACTTAAAAAATAACTGTATTATCATTAGGAGGATAGAGAAATCTCTGATGTCAAAATTTCTTTTATTTTTCCCATAGATCTAAAATACTAAAACTCTTGGTTTTTTTGCAGTGCAATATCTGTCTGGACACAGCTAAAGATGCGGTTATATCAATGTGTGGACATCTTTTCTGTTGGCCTTGCCTCCACCAGTGGTTAGAAACTAGACCAAACAGACAGATTTGTCCTGTTTGTAAGGTAGGAATAATTCAGATGATCAGTGGGTTGGTTGATTGATTAATTTTTACTTTACAGGGGTATATATTTTAAAGAATTTCTTTAACATTAACGGCAAGTTTTTTCACCCATTTTACATTGAAAATCATTTATTCCCCTGAAAGTCAATTACTTTCTCCAATTTAGTGATTAAACCCATTTAAAAACATAAAAATGATTGGTTGGAAGGATTTAAAAAAAAATGTTGATTGATTGATTGACGTTGGTTGAGGAGTATTTTTTCTGATTAAAGATTGAATCTCTAAATAGGCGGGTATAAGCAGAGATAAAGTAATACCACTGTATGGACGAGGGGGAGAGGGGAAGGATCCCAGAGAAAAAGTACCTCCAAGACCTCAGGTAGGTCATGGAAGAAATAAATTACCACTGCACCAAGGCTTTATGTAGGTCAAGGAAGTATTAAATGACCTAGACTTTAGTAAGGTCAAGGAAGTAATAAATGACCTCCAAGACTTTAGGTAGGTCAAGGAAGTAATAAATGACCTCCAAGACTTTAGGTAGGTCAAGGAAGTATTAAATGACCAATACTTTAGGTAGGTCAAGGAAGTAATAAATGACCAAGACTTTAGGTAGGTCAAGGAAGTAATAAATGACCTCCAAAACCTCAGGTAGGTCAAGGAAGAAATAAATCACCACTGCACCAAGACTTTAGGTAGGTCCAGGAAGTAATAAATGAACTCCAAGACTTAAGGTAGGTCAAGGAAGTAAGAAATGACCTCCAAGGCCTCAGGAGGTCAAGGTAGTACTAATTAAAGACTTAAGGTAGGTCAAGGAAGTTATAATTGACCTCCAAGGCTTCAGGTAGGTCAAGGAAGTAATAAATGTCCTCCAAGACTTCAGGTCAGGCATGGAAGTTATAAATGTCCTCCAAGACTTCAGATCAGGCAAGGAAGTAATAAATGACCTCCAAGGCTTAAGGTAGATCAAGGAAGTAATTAATGACCTCCAAGGCTTGAGGTAGGTCTAGGAAGTAAAAAATGACCTCGAATACCTCAGATAGGTCAAGGAAGTAATAGATGAACATTGAGTTCATCTATTACTATTAGGTCATTGAAGTAAAAAATGACCACCAAGACATCAGGTAGGTTAATAAAATATAGAATGACCTCTAAACCCTCATTATAAATGTCAAATAAGGAATAAATGGCCTATAATACCTCAGGTAGGTCACTGTAGAGAAAAACTACCTCCAAGATCTCGGTCAATTAGGGAATGACCTGCAACTTGCCAAGACCTCAGGTAGGTCCATGAAGTAGCAGATATCCTCTTAGACCTCCAAATTATATTGTGTTTTATGTTCATTTACTATTTGTTTAGGGTCAAAGATCAGAACCTACCACCAGTAATCCATTTAATGGATTTGGTTTTGGAGGGAATAATGGAGGGTTTCATATGTCATTTGGTATAGGTAAGTAAATCTTAATATATAATTTTTAATATTTGAAAATAAAATCATTTCCTGCAAAAAGTAGGAGAGAAGATTTTTGAGCGTAAAAAAATTGTAAAACAACTAACGATTTTAGCCATGAAAAAATTCGATTAATAAAATAAAATCACAACTGTTTTAGGTGCATTTCCTTTTGGATTATTTACTTCAAATTTGAATTTCGGAGAAGAAAGACCAGGGTCTCCGCATCCAGGTATACTATAAATAAACATTCATTATTGTATCCGATGTTTCTGTTAACGGAAAAATTTTGAATTCCCTTCTCTGATTTTAAATAAAAAAGTATTTGTCTTAAAACATTTCTTATACATTCAAATAAATTAACGTGTTTTTTTCACGAAATTAAATTCAAATTGATTTTAAATCTAATAAGGCCAGAGGTGTTAAATATTTATTTTTAGTTACACCCCCCCCCCTTTTCCTTAACTCAGCGAAAATTGAAAAAAAAACTTCCGCACACATACCAGCTTTCCGGGGGAGAAATATACTTTTCAAATAAGTGTTCATGAAAATATACAGTATTACACTATATACCCCCTAAATAAGAGAATATACAGTACTAGAAATTCAAGGCGCTTCGCGCCCTTCTTTCTAGCCTTAGAGGGCGCTTCGCGCCCATCTTCTAAATTAGTTGTGAACATGTTCTCTTTGTGTACATCGTAAAACAAAACAAAAATAATTCGCGGATTTTCACAAAAAATTTCGCGGATTTTCAAAATTTTTAAAAATTTAATGACGATCGAATTTTGATGGAGACAAATATTTGAAATTTTGATGATTCATAAACCTTCCCAGGGGTCTCTAGATGTCCCACAAAAAATTTGGGCCCGATCGGTTCAGCCGTTTTGACGTTTATTGGATACAAACAGACAAACAAACAGACAGACAGACAAGCCAAACTTATATATAGATTACACTATATACCCCTAAATAAGAGAATAAAATCAAATTTTCCAATTAAACTAAATCAAATGCGCGTCGTTTAAACTTCTCTACCAGCTAGATTTATTTTATTTATATGTCAGGGACCCAGCAAGCTATGGAAGAAGCATTCCTTCACAAAGTTTTTCTTTGGGTAATATTTAAATTTAAATTAAAGTTCTAATTTGGAATAATTACTGAATTTTCTTTTTTAATTCTGTCTTTTTCCAGGTTGCGTGTTTGTTTATATTTTGGTTGATGATCGCCTAGATGACGGAAGAAAAAAATATATAACTATACACATTAATTACAATCATTTGCAATTATCACGATCATTAATCCTTCTCAAACCACCAACATACATTCATATCATTCCCTACTGACCTTCCCGGACCTACCTAGACCTTCCCATACCAACACCGACCTTCCCGGACCTATTTAGACCTTCCAATACCGACCTGGATCTTCCTGGACTAATCTAGACCAATCCCGACCTTCCTGGACTAATCTAGACCTTCCCAGACCAACACCCGACCTTCCTGGACTAATCTAGACCTTCCCAAACCAATCCCAACCTTTCTGGACTATTCTTTACCTTACAATACCAACCGTGGACTATTCTAGACCTTACCACACCGACCCCGACCTTCCCGGACTCATCTAGACCTTCCAAAACCACTTTAGACCTTTCCACATCAATCCCAACCTTCTTACACCACCTTCCACCTTCTTGACTCTAGAGTCTAGTCCAATTCTCAAAACCTCAATTTCTAGCATCCAACCAACACGTCCTACAGTTCACTCCTTCCCTGTCCAAGGTCTAAGAACATAATAAGATATGGACTGAGTCTACAATAGTAATCATCTGAAATCAATAGAATTTATTTTACACCAGGGGTTTAACAATATTTTCTTTGTTAAAAGTTTGTATGAAAGTAAAATGAAATGGATGGAGTAAAAAGTGAAGGAGTGATTGAAATAGCGTGTAAGAAACCTTCTTTTTTGGACTTTGAAATAAATTGTGATAGAGAGGGATTATAAAAATTTAAATTTACTTATAACTGCAATTTTGCTGTTTGACGAAGATTGTTATTGTCGACTTTTTCCATGTCTTAATTATCCGTCATCCCCCCCTCCCCGGCCTTTAGTCATCGTGTTTTCCTTCGATTACTAAAATTGTGATTTTTCATACATTTATATTATCTTAGCTTATTATTCAATATTTTAATTTGTATTATATATATATTTAGGTTTATACGAGAAAGATAAAATAGTAAAATGTCAAAAGGTTTGCTTTTTGTTAACCCGGCCATGTTCGTGTTATTGCTAGTAACTATATTGTTTATTGTTTTTAAAGTGCAACGGATCCAGATTTCAAATATTGAGATTTATGTTAGATTTTTTTATCTTTAGATTGATTTTAGACTTTTTACTCTGATTCGGAGAATTAAACTGTTATACTTATAATCATACTGTTATAAGTTTGTCGTTTTTACTATTTTTTTCTCCATTTCTTTTTGTAATTTAAAAAAATATTTCTTAGACATTTTACGATTTTTTTCTAATTTGTAGATTGCAATTTTGTGTTAATTACTCGGGTTATCTATTTACACTCCCCTCCCCCTTTTTTTAATTCGTATTACCTTGTTATGATAGCAATGTATTTATTATTTTTCATGTTTTTTCTAACAATTGTTTTTAATTTTATTGAAAATTAATACGAGATGAGAGTAGTACAAAATAATACTGTTTGAATAATTCCCTATTTGAGATTTCACTGAACCATCAGCGCTAGTCGTATCATTTACTATAAGAATAAATCTGAGCAGTTTTCCAATATTATATGTTGGATGTTGTCAGATAGAAAACGATATTTCATCATAGACCTAAAACTATTTTCTGTGAAAGTGAAAATATTTATTAATAAGACATTAAAGTTTTGAAATAAGCTGTTGATTAATTGTGTTTTGTTATAATATTAAAAGATTCACAAAAACATCAAGTGGTGAAAAACATATACGTTAGTAATACAAAATAGAAATTTATTAACTTTAAACCTAGAACTTGAATGATCTTGATTTTTTTCTGAAGAAAAAGAACATTTTTAGAAACGAATAGATTTCACTTTTAATCTTAGGGAAAAAATTAGTTACTTGGCTTGTAAGGCGTTTTGCCTTTTCTAGTGACTCTTGGGAGTCGCTGATTATAAAATAGTGTTCAGTACAAACCATATATATTTGTGAAATATACAGTGTTATCCAACATACATGAGGAGACTGTAATGGCAAACTGACAAAACGATATTAATGGTGATCTTAGTTTCGTTAATATCGATAGTTTTCTACATGTATTTTTAAGTGATTCAGGAAAAGAAAAACAAGAAAGGTAGTTTTCTACATGTATTTTTAAGTGATTCAGGAAAAGGAAACAAGGAAGATAGTTTTCTACATGTATTTAAGCGATTCAGGAGAAAGAAAAAAACAAGAAAGGTAGCTTTCTACATGTATTTTAAGTGATTCAGGAAAAGAAAAACAAGAAAGATAGTTTTCTACTTGTATTTTAAGTGGTTCGGGAAAAGAAAACAAGAAAGGTAGTTTTTTACATGTATTTTAAGTCATTCAGGAGGAAAAACAAGAAAGGTAGTTTTCTCCATGTATTTTAAGTGATTCAGGAAAAGAAAACAAGAAAGATACTTTTTACATGAATTTTAAGTGATTTAGGGAAAAAAAACAAGAAAGGTGTACACTGTACAGTTACAGTGAATCTAGTAAATTGAAACTATACAGTCATCTTGGAGGTTTCATCCTAAGTGAGTAACCCTGTATTATGCAGGGTGTCTGAATAAAAATTGGAATTGAGAGACTAAATAAATATTGTCTCTGATTTGCGATTATTGAAATATGACCCCAAGTCCACCAAGTGCATCAAAAAAATGTTTAAAGTCTTATGAGCTTTCCAAAATGTGATCTACCTTTGTATCTTTGCAAATGACGGAGATATTAAATATTTTAACAGTTTTGTTGATTTTTAATAAACTGGAATCTGGACAAATTTTCTTTATATATCTGTCAATTTTGAAGGTAAAAAATTGGTAGACCACATTTTGTGAATCCCAAGACTGGTAGTTTTAGGTGTTCAGTGTTTTAACTGTGATACTAAAAAATGACGTTTCCGAAATATTCTCGCATGGATAAAAGACGATACAAAAGTCGTCGTTTTATTCCCATATTTATTGGGACACCATGTATTCAGACCAGTTTAAAGTGCATTTCTCTGGTCAATCTAGGGTAACTTATATCGTTTTTAAAGTATGTCTATAGTAGACATACCACGAATACTAACTTGAGCATACCATTGGTATTCTTGATAGAAGATCAACTGAAACTACTTGTATTAAACTTTAATAGATAAGTTATACAGGATTTATTGGCTTTCAGAAGACTCCAAAAAATGATCTTGAGAAGTCTTGTCATCGAACCATCGATTTTGCTTCGTTCAGGTTTGTATCTTATGTCTGATGACAATTTTTGCATAATTTCCAAAAATCTGATAATTTTAATTACTTAAGTTTCCGTCCTTTTTTTATCGCGTATAGGCCTAAAATCCTTAAATATCGTTAAAAACGAATACTACCAATGCCATTATTGCCAAACTTTAGTAAAAGTCTCCTCTGTCTGTATACCGTCCCTTGTATTGAGACGATTGTACGGAATCTTGTATGTCACAGTCCTATATCCACGATATCTTTGTCAAATTATTAAAAGACTTTTATAGAGTTAACATTTGGATCATCACATTTAAGGTCGTCTTTATATTCTCATCCTTTGTCTGTAAACCTGTATCTTTGATAATTTTAAATATAATCACGCAACCTCTTCTAAATATATAGATTTAAATCTCTTCAAAACTTAAAACAATTTAATCAATGATTAAAACTGTTTTAGATTTACAGATAATGAATCGGTAATTTGGCCATTAAGAATATTTTGAATCCAATTTATAAAAGAGTTAATAATTAGTATGACATATATGACACTGCCAATTCACATTTTAAATAAACCCAGGAAACATTTATCTAGCTTTAGACTTAGATATACTACTCAGAAAATATGCAATGCGTCTTAATATTGTTAGATTTCGTTAACCGGGGCGTGCCCCCCCCCCTCAAACGCTCAGCAAGGGGAGTCAGACTCACCTACGCTGATAAGGGGGCCTGCCCCCCCCCCTTTAGATTAAGGGGGGGGCATGCCCCTTTCTTTTTAAGAAGGCTTGCCCCCTGTAGGGGGGGGGGGGGTTAAGAAGTCCTTAACAGGGGTCCATATAGTTCCAAAAATAGCTAATTTTCCCGAATTTTTGTTTCAATGTGCCCCCATAGTAATTATTTATTAAATCCTACACTCTTTAAGCAAACTCAAATTCCACTAAAATATGTTTCAAAGCACAGATTCTTTTTATTTTTATCCCCTTTCCATAAAAATGCCCCCAAATTTCTATTTTTTAAATTACACTCCCACATTCTTATTCAAATTGCCCCACCAAACTTAAATTTCCCCCCTTTTTTCAACATTTGTAACCCTTGGTTTTTTAGAATGCCACCAAACATTTTTAATTTGCACCTAAATTTAATTTTTTTTATCCCGAAATGTACAGCCCTATCTAAAAAATATGCCCCTTACTTTTTAGATAATGCTAAAAAATTAAGAAGTTTTGCCCCCAACAAAAAATTAACCCTTTGTTAAAAAAAGTTATCCCTTTTTATTTTTTAAAAATGCCCTAAAATAAAAAAATGTTATCCAAAATAAAGGTTTAATATTTCCCATACACAAAATTGACAAAACTGAAAAAAAAACCCAAAACTAAATTTTCCCCAAAAAAACAAAAGATTTCCATTTCCCCCAACTAAAAAAACTGCCCCCCAAAAAATAAATCTGACCCTGAAATATAGTTAAATAAAAAATTTGGGCCCGATCGGTTCAGCCGTTTTGACGTTTATTGGATACAAACAGACAAACAAACAGACAGACACCAAGACAAGCCAAATTTATATATAGAAGTAGTAATCTCTGTTTGTTTGCTCGGATGTTTGATTATTCATAAATCTTTAAATACATGACCGATTTGGCTTAGATTTTGATTGGGGAATTCGGGTGGATTACAGGAATGTTCTTAGCGTGGTTTGAGATTCTAAGTTGAGTGAGTGGCAAGGTTGTATAATAAGGTTGGTTACTCTCGATGCGCTCCAATTTACGGAAAATGTCGTGTCCTAAGATAGATAGATAAAAACCTAATATGACGTCACTTTCGCTT